ATGTTAGGAATGGGGTAAGGAAAGTGGTCGCATGTAGGAAGTAGACATGATAGGCTAACTGATCACGGGATCACTTTTAAAGAACAGATATTGCCCTGTGACCAGCTAAGTCTTCAAGCTGGAGAACTTTGTGACCCTGGCTGCCAGTGAGGCTCATCTGAGGGCCCCTCCTGAGAACGAGGCTGATCTGAGGCCCCCCAGAACGAGGCTGATCTGAGGGTCCCCCCCAGAATGAGGCTGATCTGAGGGTCCCCCCCAGAACGAGGCTGATCTGAGGGTCCCCCCCAGAACGAGGCTGATCTGAGGGTCCCCCTGAGAACAAGGCTGATCTGAGGCCCCCCAGAACGAGGCTGATCTGAGGGTCCCCCCCGAGAACAAGGCTGATCTGAGGGTCCCTCCTGAGAACGAGGCTGATCTGAGGGTCCCTCCTGAGAACGAGGCTGATCTGAGGCCCCCCCCAGAACGAGGCTGATCTGAGGGTCCCCCCGAGAACAAGGCTGATCTGAGGGTCCCCCAGAATGAGGCTGATCTGAGGGTCCCCCCCCAGAACGAGGCTGATCTGAGGGTCCCCCTGAGAACGAGGCTGATCTGAGGGCCCCCAGAACGAGGCTGATCTGAGGCCCCCCGAGAACAAGGCTGATCTGAGGCCCCCCCAGAACGAGGCTGATCTGAGGGCCAAGGCCAGGGTGGAGAGAAAAGTGGAGTGAAGGGGGAGCCTGGGAGGAGGAGCATGCATCCGTGCGCGCGTGTGCATGTGTGTGTGTGCATCCGTGCGTGCGTGTGTGCATGTGTGTGTGCATCCGTGCGTGCGTGTGTGTGCATGTGTGTGTGCATGTGTGTGTGTGCATCCGTGCGTGCGTGTGTGTATGTGTGTGTGCATGGGTGCGTGTGTGTGTGCATGGGTGCGTGTGTGCATGTGTGTGTGTGCATATGTGTGCATCCATGCGTGCGTGTGTGCGTGTGTGTGCATGTGTGTGTGCATCCGTGCATGCGTGTGTGTGTGCATGTGTGTGTGTGCATGTGTGTGTGCATGTGTGTGCATGGGTGCGTGTGTGTGTGCATGTGTGTGTGTGTGCATGTGTGTATGTGTGTGTGTGTGTGTGTGAATCTGAGGTCTGCTTGGCCTGCTCAGGACAAGTGGATTATCTCCCATGTCTGTGGCTCTTTTCTCTGCGTTTGACTTTTCTGCCCTTGGGAGCATTTCACCTCGACCAGCAGCTGATGTTTTCAGCAGCTGTGGTCAAGGTGTCTCCTTTCTGTGGAGTGCAGAAGGATCCAGGTCTTTTCCTTTATGACTCCTCTAGGTCTCCTGTTCTTTGGGTAAATAAGTAACTTCCAGTGCATTGAATACTTGTAGGACTCAGCATCCTTCATCTTGCCTTATTTAGGACTCAGTTGGTTAATCGATGACCAGAAAGGAGTTCTTAGGATAGATGCAAAATGTAATTGTTTTACCACTTTGTATTGACTGCCCGTGAAAGCTGTTTAGGGTGTGAAGGAAGGTTATGGGTGCAGGTCATTCACAGTCACGTAGACACTTGCTGGGGACTGAGTTGTGCTAGGAGACACAGACACTGGGAGGTATGCTCGAAGCCTGGCACTGTCCTCCAGGGGGCCTCTGGGCCAAGAGAAACAGGATACTTGACCAGTTTTAAGATGAAAAGCTGTAAGTGCCTTAAGTTGATGCACAAAGTGCTTTTTCACTTGAAAAAAGAAAGAGCAATTACTCCTAAGAGAGATGAAGGAAGCTTTCATGATGTGAGGCACTTAAGCTGGGAATAGGAGAATGGGGAGAGGTGGAACACATGGAAATGGGTAAGACCACCATTGCGAGAACAGCGAAAGCAAGATGAAGAGCTGAGAAAAGCCAGGGCGGACAGCGGGCCGGCAGTCGCTCAGCGCCGCGCTGGGCACTGACCATGGCAACACAGCAGGCGCGTGGACAGCGGGCCGGCAGTCGCTCAGCGCCGCGCTGGGCAAGATGATGGTAACGCAGCAGGCGCGTGGGATATGGAGGCACACGTCTTACGTCTTTCATTTTTACAGCAGCTTCTGTTTAGATGCAGTATTACTCCAGTTTTAGCAGGTAAAGAAATTGGGGAAGGGTGCATAAGGCTGGCCTGTCCAGGGCCTGCCTCTGATGACTAGCATAGAGTTCCTATGAAAGCAGGCCTGGTCCTGAAAGGTAAGACAGACAGACTGAACTCAGCCCAGGATGCTGGATTGCTCGAGAGCCGGCACTCCACGGTTCGGTAAGCTATTGGGTTGGTCCGTGAGGTGTATTAGAACGCAGCATTGCCTGGCTGCGCGTGGGTTCTTCTGTGGCCGCTTCCGCACACCCGCGAGCATCCAGCCCACAAGCCTCCAGTGCTGACTCCCCGGCCCAGGGCAGGCAGCGCTTGTGCATCCTGCTGCAGCTGACTGGGAGCCAGTGCCTGTGCGGGAGGAGGGCGGGGGAATCTCAGAGGTCTGCACGCTGTTGAGGCCGTCCTGATCCACGGGACGGAATGAGGGGAACCATTTGGGACGTGCGGTTATCTGTTCTCCAGCCCCCTTACCCTGGGACTGTCCCAGCCACAGGGCCGACCCTGTGTGAGAGCAGAGACAGGGCTGTTCCCGCCCCAGCTGGTTACAGCTGCAGTGTTTTGTAAGACCTTGGGAGAGCTTAGGAAATGAGGAGCACCTCTGACGCTCTCTCTGACGCCATGTGGAAATCACTGTCATATTTATACCATATTTCCCCTTCTGGCTATGACTTTTAGAACCTGTATTCAGGTGGTGCTTTGGTCAGCTGAATCTCAGGACTGTAGTGTTGGTTTGTTTTCAGGATGAACCTACATGTTACTACTATAAAACAGTACTTGGGTATCACTCCATATGTTTAGCTTGTAGCCAGTCATGCATTACTTTTTGAAAAAATGTGAAAGGCAGCTGGGTGCCGGCGGCTCACGCCTGTAATCCAGCCACTCAGGAGGCTGAGTTCTGAGGATGGCTGTTCAAAGCCAGTCCAGGCAAGAAAGTCTGTGAGACGTATCTCCAGTTAATCACAGAAAAAGCCAGGAATGGCCCTGTGGCTCAAGTGACAGAGCACTAACTCACCTTGAGCAAAAGGAGTCTAGGGACAGTGCTCAGGCCCAAGGTTCAAGCCACAGAACCAGCAAAAAAGAAAAAAAAGTGGCAGACAGACTTGCCGTGTTGTCCAGGCTGGTCTCAGTCTCATGGGCTCAAGCATTTTCCTGCCCAAGCCTCTCAGTAGCTAAGACTACAGGCATGTGGCACCACACTCAGGCTGTGTAGTCTTGAAGAGTTCCTCGTCTCCTGATGGAAGGTTGTCTGTTAGTGAATACTTGCATGTGACAGGCGTGCTGGGTGTTACCCGTGTGTCAGTGATTTACCTCTCGCCTTGACTTCACGATGTTGGCACTGTTGGCCTGTTGATAGACAAAGGCACTGAAATTTAGAAAATTGAACAAACTTACCCCCATATGGTGTGTGTGTGTGTGTGTGTGTGTGTGTGTGTGTGTGTGTCTAGTGTCAGTCGTGAGGCCTGAACTCTGGGCATGGGCACTGTCCCTCAGCTCTTTAGCTCAAGGCTAGCACTCTACCACTTGAGCCACAGTGCCACTTCTGGCTCTTTCTGCTTATGTGGTGCTGAGGAATGGAACCCAGGGCCTCAGGCACGCAAGGCAAGCGCTCTACCACGGAGCCGCCTTCCCAGCCCCGGCTGGCGTTCCTTAACTGCGCCGTCTCACTTCCTGTTGCCTGAGTTCCTTGGGGAAGGAGCTGTGACCTCTGACGGATGACATTTGCAGGAAAGAAGACACAGTCTCTGAGATCAGGATCACCCCTCAGAGTGGGGGTGTGCTGTCCACTCCTGGGAAAGGGCTTGCAGGGGCCGGGGCTGTGGACTGGCGTCCACCTCCCACCCCTCACCACCCACGTCCTCTACCACCACCCAGCGGTCACTGCCACATGCAAGACGTGGGTGGGAAAAACTCTGAAAGGTGAGACCAGGATTCAGGGGTGCAAAGGAACTGTTAGTCCCCTCAAAGAGACAGCAGTGCTGACGGCTCCACGGGGCTGGGAAAGCACTGGTAGGAAGGGAAACCTGGCTGGGGAGCAGCCAGGCGGAGGAGGCATGCATGAGGCTCCCTTTCCATCCTCCTCCGGCCTGCATCCTGTGCTCTCCAGCCTGGACTGGATCCCTGCGGCGCCTTGTTCCCTTGTTGGGTGTAGCCACCCGGTGACCACAGGTGGCAGGGTGGTGCTGACACGAGACCTGTGGCAACACTGAGAAATGCCTGGCCTCAGGGCAGCTCCATGAAGTATGTCCTCTTGAGTTATAGGAAACAGTCACCTTTGTCTGATGTTCTAGTGGCACGTTGGAGTGATTGGAACTAATTTCTACGTGTGGACAGCTGGGTTACTGAGAGATGGAGAGAGGGAAAAAGAGGGAGAGGGGAGGAGAGAGGGAGAGCTCCAAGCTTGACTCTGAACAAGCAGGTGCTGCGCAGACGGCCCTCCCGAGCATTGTCCACACTCACAGTCCGCCACAGTCATCCCAGACAAGGAGACACTCGCTTTGAGCCTTCACATGGAAGCAGAGTCTGCATTGAAAAGTGTAGTTCCACGCAGCGTAGCATGGTGGGCAACAACATACCACGTGTACATTTAACATCCCAGAAGATGATCGCAGAGCTTGGAGGTTGCTGTCACCCACGTTCTTGTCTTCTCTGTAGATCACATGCTGAGGCACGTGCTCACCACTGCCGGTGGCTCTGGGAGCGCCCGTGCCGCTCGGGGCTGATGCCGGGCACCCACACAGCGTGGTCACTGCCAATGGCATCTGACCCTGCGTTTCTTGGAACATCATCCTGTTGTTATGTGATACTTATTGTTCAGAAACACTTGGATTTCTGATCATCCTGACTGCCTCCTTTCTCTCCTTTATTCCTCTTCTTGTCTTTGCACTCTCCCTGCCCTACCTTGTTTCTGTTTAGATTGAAAATGGCTCAGGCATCAGTCAGCAAGTTGACAGCAGAGAAGAAAGTGGAGACCAAGAAGATCGACCCCGCCGCTAGTCTGGTAAGCTGCACCTTCCAGCGTAGCCTCCAGATCCCCACTGGAACTGGGGTGTACCAAAAAGTGCGTCTGAATTTAAAGGGTAAACCTCAGAAGGAAAAGACGCAATAGCTGTGTTCCCAGGTCACATTCCACAATAGTTTATAGTTTTAAAAATGTGGGGCCGGGCGCCGGGGGCTCACGCCTGCCATCCCAGCTACTCAGGAGGCCGAGATCTGAGGATCGCGGTTCAAAGCCAGCCTGGGCAGAAAAGTCCATGAGACTCTGATCTCCAGTAAACCACCAGAAAACCAGAAGGGGTGCTGTGGCTCAAAAGGTAGAGCGCTCCCCTTGAGCTGAAGAGCTGAGGGACAGTGCCCAGGCCCTGAGTTCAAGACCCACAACTGACAAAAAAAAAGTGGGGTAAAGGAGCAAAATGTGGTTTCATGTGTTTCCCCTTGAGCTCCACAAAGCTAATTCCTGATACACCAAATACTGTCCCCTGCCATTCCACAGCCTTCCACAGCCTTCCACAGCCTTCCTCAGCCTTCCACAGCCCAACCCCTAGTCTCAGGTGCTTTTCTTTAAGATATTTAAAAGTATTCACCCTCTCCTATGTTGTTTCACCCTTAAAGAGCAGGACAGGATGTACTACTTTGAGGATGGGCAGAGTTGCGATACAGAAGCAGCAGCCTGTGCTGTGTCATTGGGCACACAGCAAAAGCCAGGACCAGCAGCCATGGATGACAGGTCACCCACTCCAAGCTTGAGAGGACATGGCTCTGCAGGCCCCAGTTTTCAGTAGAGATCACAGTGGCTCTCTGTGTGTTACAGGCATAAAAAGAATGACCACACAGCTAGGAATCCAGGATTAGCAGAGAAGAGACTGCTTGGGTTCAATTCCCAGCCTCACCCTTAATACGTGTAAAACCTTAGTAAAGTGGTATTGCTTCTCTCCCTGCAGTGAAAAGAAGACAACAGTATTGCCTTCGATGTAGGGTTATCTTGAGAAACTGGGGGAAAGGTATGTAAGTACCTAGGATGTAACAGGAGCTCAGTTAACTTTGTTCCTTATTACTATGGGCTCCAGAGGCTCTACCAGCTCCACAGTAGAGAACAGTAATGAACAGTTGTCTCCTCACTTGGATTATTAAGGGACGTGGTTGGCTGATTGACTGGTTGTTCACCTTCTATGTGCTTCGGGGAATCAGTGAAAGGTTGGTAGGAACAGGTAACAGCGTTTAGGGAAAGAGGCATGGAGATAGTCTTCTTGGGTATTTCAACTTGGCATTCTAGTCAGAATCTGAAAAATCGGTCAAAATTTGAGGCAGAAAAAAGTAACAGAAACAACAATAAATGATCAATTTACCTTTCTTCATTAAACAACAGAAAGAGAGACTGCGTCAGAAAGAAGCTAGCGTGACCTCCAGCTAAGACGGCGGCTCGCGGAATGGCGGTGGCGGAGCGGCTTCTGCGCACCTCCCACAGCGCCGTGCCGGCGCCCTTCCCCAAGGCATCTGCACACCGATCCTGGTGCCTGCGGCCAGAAGCGCTCATGAAGCTACGAGACACTGCAAGAGCATTTGATCACAGTTTCCCTTAGAAGCCCAGAGTCTATGCTGTTATAGAACCAGAAGAAATCGCAAGCTTTTCCAAAGTGTACTTAAGAAGACTGAAGTGTGACGTTTTCTGACCCAAGCTGGATATGCTAACCTTGCCACTGCAGAGCTGCATCTTCTGGGATTGCTCCCGCCCCGATCCCGGCAAAGCAGGATCCAATCTGCCTCCCACCTGACACCCTGGAAATCCACCCAAACTGTGTTGTGAAGAGGCCTTTTAGATCCTAGTCTAAGGAAATCACATTGCTATCATCGTTCATGATGCAGAGAAAACGAAGTTGTGCGTGGGTGGAGCAGGGGAAAGCGGGGAAGATGAGGTATCAGTAGCTCCTTCCTGGTGAGTGGTTGGTACTGGAAGGTGGCATCAGCATTGAGCTAGCTGCATTCTCTGGTTTTTACGCCAGTTCTGAGGCTTCCTTGGCCAGCAGGGATTCTACACTCCACCTCTGGGAGAAGCAGTAACATCCAAGCAGGGACAGCCTCGGGGTTCAAGCCTCCACTGGACAAGTACCCTGTGATAGTCTTCTGGACTTGGAATCCATTGTTTGTGGATAATAAATGCCGTGCGCACACTCGGCTGAGGTTAATGCCAGGCCCTGTGGCTTGCGCCAGGCCTCCTGTTACCCCAGGAGACAGCGTCTGCACCCTCTGCCTTTTCCATGGTCTCAGCTGACCAGCACACAAAGCGGCTCGCACGAAGGTGCTTCGCTGTCAGAAACTCAAGAGCAGAAACGTCATTTACAGCAAAATGAAAAGAAATACATGACAGTACTACTGACTAGAGGCCGGTAGCTTCCTCACACTGGCTCTCGAGTCCCAGAGGAAGACCATCGTGGACCTCCCCCTGACATTTCTCCCCTTACGCCAACAGCCTTTGAATCTATCTTATGAGGAGAGAAGACAGGACTAGAGACCATCATTTTTAGGCCTTGATAGAATAGAGGCCCAAGATTCCCCTCTGGTTGGTAGAGGACAGTCTAGACACAAGCAAGAACCTCCCATCCCTCCTCAGCCTGGCTCTCATGGGCCAGTCCCTCACCCAGCTTTCCAGAACAGCACCTTTTCCAGCCTTGTTAAGTAGCTGAGTATTTGCCCAGGGCCTGTCTGCAGTCCTCAGCCTCCTCGGGGACCGCCTGTGGGTTCAGCCGCCCCAGATCCTCAGGAAACAGCAGGCACAGTTGGGATCCGGCAAGTCATAGATGCCGGATCCATGCCCTTCCCAGAGGCCCAGAGGAAAGGGATCGAGTCACATGATTGGATCCGAAGGAATGAGAATAGACAGGCAGGAAAGGAGCTTCCATGACTAGGAAAGCGTGAGTTGTGTGTGGAGCAAGGACCTTTTCCCACCTGTCGCTTTCCTACGCGCTTATTGTTCATTGCTGTTTTACCATGTGGGGAGGGGCAGAGTTCACGCACCCCGGCCCAGGCCCCAGACCTCCATTTTAGAAGAGAATTGCTGATTTTGCCAAAGCCACAGAAGCCGTCTCCGCATTCCACCAAGTGGGCAGGAGCCTAGATCCCCGTGGGTCCTGTGGGCAGGAGCCTAGATCCCCGTGGGTCCTGTGACTCAGTGGGTGAGACTCACCATCCACCTAAGGCCTCTGAGTTGTCACAGGTGACATTGTCGCTGTCCCCTGCAGGAACACTCCCAAATCTGGAAGAACAATGAAAGGAAGCATACATCTTAGACTTTAAAAAATGCAACTCAGGCCGGGCGCTGGTGGCTCACGCCTGTAATCCTAGCTACTCAGGAGGCTGAGATCTGAGGATCGTGGTTCAAAGCCAGCCCGGGCAAGAGAGACCGTGAGACTCCTATCTCCAATAAACCACCAGAAAAAAAAAAACCGGAAGTGGCGCTGTAGCTCAAGTGGTAGAGCGCTCGCCTTGAGCTGAAGAGCTGAAGGACAGCACCCAGGCCCAGAGTTCAAGCCCCACGGCTGACAAAAAAAAAAAAAAAAAATGCAACTCAGCCAGGCACCGGTGGCTCACGCCTGTCATCCTAGCTACTCAGGAGGCTGAGATCTGAGGATCACAGTTCAAAGCCAGCCCGGACAGGAAAGCCTGTGAGACTCTTATCTCCAATGAACCACCCAGAAAACCAGAAGTGGCACTGTGGCTCAAGTGGTAGAGCGCTCGCCTTGAGCTGAAGAGCTAAGGGACAGTGCCCAGGCTCAGAGTTCAAGACCCACGACCAACCTAAAAAAAAAAAAACAGGCAACTTACGGGATTTCATCCAAGAGAACAGACTAAATTTTTCCTAGAGGCAAGGCTTGCATCCTGTGTCGAGGATGGTTGGTAGATTTCTCTGAGTGCTGTAAGACCCCATGGCAGAGCCTCGGGCTTGAAGCCTGCGTTGTCGGTCTGAGATGCCTCCTCCCGAGTCCCCCAGTGTTGACAGAGCCTTTATCTCTACCTTAAATGCACACTCGATAAAGGATGGTAACCGCAGCTTCCAGACAGTTATCCAAGGCAGCCTGGAGGCCTGGGCCCGTAGTGCGGGTAATGCAGAGGTGACCGGTGAAGGCCACCGTGTGTCTGCACTGCTCACGGACAGCAGCCGGCTGAGTTGCCGTGGAAACAGTGGGCAGGCATGCTGAGCACGCTGTCCTTAGGCACAGCTCTTCCTGATTGCCAGCCTGGCACTCACACCTGCGCTAAGACGCCTGAGTTGATAAACGGCTTTGTCTCTTCCAGAGCACGGCGTGGGGATCCTCGCGTGAGCCATGAGCAGCGCCGTGGAGGAGCACACGGCGGAGCAGCTGCTACCTGAAGCGCTGTGCAGATTCTGCAGGGTCAAGCGCTAGATCTCACAGTGCCCTGTACGGCTTTTAACCCAAGAACAGACAAATTAACAGAAAACAAAAGTGGGAAAAGGTGCGGCCAAGCAGAAGAGGACACAATCCTGGGCACAAGGGGTAGCTTTGCAGCCCAAGGGTTGTCTTCTGAGCTCTTAAGTTGATGTCTACGTCTCAAGCCTGTGACAACTGCCTGGAAATTGCAAGCTTCTAAAATCTAAGTATAACGAGGAAGCCCATGGTACTAGCCGGTCCCCCGGTGTTCTGGTGAAATAAAAAGGCCACCGCAGGGAAGAATCGAGTGTCTGGCCAGGAGCCCGGCTTCCCGCTCGGCAAAGCTGCTGAGCCTGTCTGCTGTCTCTCTCCACCCGAAGAGCTCCCGTGTTGCCAAGGGAGAAACCGAAGAAACTAGAAAAAAGGAGTAAGTGTGTTGGTAGAATTGGATAGTCACTGTAAGGCAAAGAAGACGTGGGTACAGTTTGTCCCAAGTCCACAATTAGATGTAGCAGATGAGGCACAAGTGTATGTTTAGTAATGATTTGCCTATTGGCCTGAGATTATCCATCTGTCTCTAGGTTAGACTGCCTACAGCAACAGAGTTTTTGTTTAAATTTCTGGCTTCTTGAAAGCTCTGTGTCTGTAGCCCCTTTGCTGAGCACACGGGCACAGCCCCTCAGTGTCCCCCAATCCTGAATGGCAGGGAATCCACAAGGCAGGGCCGCAGACTCGGTTCCCAGCAGCCAGACAGGACAGCATCCTAGATCCCAGATCAGTCTGTCGGTCCTGCTTGTCCCTCCTCACAAACAGCAAAGGGAAAGCCATGTCTGGCAACACAAAAGGCAGCCTCCTCCCGAGGGACGATCCAAAGATCACCTGTCTTGTTTTACAAAATAGCTTAAATCATGTTTAGAAATTGCCAGGAGAAGGCTCCACTTGTTCCAGTCTTCTCTGCTCTTGTCCATGCTTGTCAGAAAAAAAAATCACCAAAGGGTAGGTGGGAAATAAAAGACTTCAGCCGATTCAGTAACCTACAAATTATTTCTGAATCACAGGGAGGGGGGTGGGAGGGAAGAGAAAGAGAGAAAGGCATGACGTCCAGTGTGGTAGAAGCCGTAACAGGCTCACAAGAACTTGAATGACTGCTGATGGACAGTAGCACAGCTAGAACTGCCTTCTGTCCACCTCAGAGCTCAGCCTCAGCCAGCTCTTCCTAGAAAGTGAGTTTCAAAGATGCTCCTGAGAAGCGTCTTTGTGAAAAGGCCACATGGAAGAAGACACAGTTTGACGAGTCAAGCAAGTGCGGCACCATTAAAATTACTTTCCTCCACGCAGGAGGGCCACAGAGGACCAAGGGCCAGGTAACTCCACGGTTAGGGGCCTCCATCAGATAAAGAAGTGAACTTCCATTCATCTTAGCCCTTGCCTTCAAAAGGAGATCTGAAACATAGGTAAAACAAGTGGTCAGACTGGTAGAACTGGAAAAGAACGGATTAACGTTTAGCCTTCCTAAAATGCAAGTCACTTGAATATATTTGCATGTTCCAGCTACCTGGAGGAGCAGCTCAGCTCCTTGGAAACGGTTACTGATAAAGGAAAAGTTGGCTTAAAGGAGGGCTTCTTGAGAAGCCCATCTCGGAAGCCGGCGTCGCCAGCGGGGTTCACAGCTGCCCGTGGCTGGGATGCCGCCGGCTGCCGGCCCCTTGTCAGAGGCACATTCCATTTCAGTTTTGCTTCTTCCCCAAGGAGTAGGCAGTCTACCAGATTCTCCCAGATCAAGATGTCATGGGGAAGTTGTGAACCTAGGAGAGTTTTTTACATACACTTGAAGCCAACGCGGTAGCCTTTTCCAGGATTCTGAGCTAATAATGCGATAGACGCACTGCATTGCACTGGGGAAATTTGTACAGTTAACAACCTGGTTGGGAATGTGGAGGCACTGAAATGATGATAACCACCCCCCGACCCACCGCGAGGGTCTGCCAGCAGGGCTGCAGAAGCAAATCCAGTGTCCCGGCCCGGCCACCTCTGTCCTCAGCCCTGCGGATGACTGGTGTGTTAGGGCCCCCGGGAGACCTTCCCCGTTTCTGCCTTCCCCTCTGACCCTGCGATCTACAGCTCACATGAACTCTACACTTGGTCACACATTGTATCTATTACATATGTGTAAAGACATACTATATCTTAATGAGGAGAAAACTGAGCATCTCAGGCTTTATATGAATACAGCAGATAATGCCAGTAGATTAAAGTAGATAAATTCAATCCATAAGTTCTCTCTGTTCTCATAGGATTTTCCAATGTTCTGTTCTCAAATATATAATCTCTTAAAGGTTGATCCACCTATGTCAGTGGGCTTTATGTTTAATTGTTTCTGTGAAACTTGAAAGCTGGCAAAATGCACATGGGCCTTAGATCGAGGCAGAAATTAACCTCGAGATAACTTGGCCTGAACAACCTATACACGTTCACACTGTCACACGAGTTCTGGGCATTTTATCCAATTCTACCCGTGCATACATCGAAGCCCTCTACCTTTGAAAGGAAGAACAGCTGAAAAGAGATCAGACACCTCTTCCCAAATACAGTGCATTTCCAGTGCCTCCCCTGAACTTAGCATATCAAGCCAGAAACCACACGTCTCCCTTAATGCTCTGCTTCATTGTTCTCTTTCAGAACTTTGTCCCACTTATAGGAAGCCAATGTATTTTTTACTGTGTACCTCAGTAACCTCTACAAGTCCATCCTTCCAGCATGAGAGGTTGGTCTGCCGGATGCTGTGTGCAGGGGTGTGATCTGTGCAGATGCTCTCGGGTGGGCACAAGCCTTCAGTTCTGGCTTCTGTGTGGCAGGTACAGAACACGAGCTGCGTCTGCTTTGTCTAGCGAGGGACCAAGGCATTCACAAGCTGTGCATCTTAGGTGCTTTATGTGAACTGTCACTTTTTTCCCTTCTTGCCAACTTGGCTCTGGGTACAACCTTATTTCTTCGTATACTTGACCATCACAGTGGTCACAGCCCCACTGAGAGTCTGTTCCCTAAAGTCCTCGGGAAGCATTCATGGAGGAGGAGGGCTGCTAACATTCTGTTTGCAGGGAGGCTATGATACAAACAAGATTTGAGGTCTATAAACGAGATGGCACTTCCAAAACCACTAACCTTGCAATTCTATAGGTCTCCGAAGACACAATCTTCCCTAATATAATCTTAGTATGTAATCTTTGAGGACTTCTTGCACTACAGAAGAAGGATTTTCCTTTAAAGACACAGTATTCCCCAAAAGGCAGAACTATTTGAGAATTAGAATTTGAGTGATTTTCAGAATCTTTATAGGACGCACGCCCTCAGTTCCGCGTGGGCTGTGATTTGGCCGAGTGTGGAAGACAGTGTGCTGGACTTTGATTTAGGGAGCCGTGCTTTGGCCTGCCTGCCTGGAGCCTAAGCGGGCTCAGCTAGCAGCCAATACACGTCAGATGGAACAGAGACCCTGCGGGCTCCAGTCCTTTGTGGTCAGACCAGGACGGCGGGTGCTGCTTCCTGAGAGTGTGGTTATCTTCGTCCGGCTCGTGATGAAGACGCAGGCAACGGGATGGGAGAAACTCTGAGAAGAAAGGCCAGTGCAGAGCTGCTGGCTTCTGCCGCGTTGGCATCGTAGTCAGCTCCTTGGAGGAGAGCCGAGGCATTCGTGTTAGGCACGCACGCATGGGGATTGTGTGGGGACGTGGGCTCCCCGTGGGGATTGTGTGGGGACGTGGCCCCCCCCGTGGGGATTGTGTGGGGACGTGGCCCCCATGGGGATTGTGTGGGGACGTGGGCCCCCGTGGGGATTGTGTGGGGACGTGGGCCCCCCCGTGGGGATTGTGTGGGGACGTGGGCTCCCCCCGTGGGGATTGTGTGGGGACGTGGGCTCCTCCCCCCCCCGTGGCGCCGTGCTTCCCACTCTGGTCCACGGGGCTGCTTGTCCG